TCATAGAAAACACCGACCTTACCTAACCTACTTAGTATGTTAAAATAAGCATCTTATAGCTTCGTAATTACAATTGTTACTTAACCTATTATAGGTATAGGTTAGGTAATAATTGTAATTACGAAGCAATAAGATGCTTATCTTAACATACTAAGTAGGTTAGGTAAGGTCGGTGTTTTCTATGAAGCTTTTCAAGGGAAACTATTATGTTAAGTATGTCACCTATGCACATATTTAATAAGTCAATATTGACTTATTAAATATGTGCATAGGTGACATACTTAACATAATAGTTTCCCTTGAAAAGCTTCATAGAAAACACCGACCTTACCTAACCTACTTAGTATGTTAAGATAAGCATGTTATTGCTTCGTAATTACAATTATTACCTAACCTATAATAGGTATAGGTTAAGTAATAATTGTAATTACGAAGCAATAAGATGCTTATCTTAAGATACTAACAAGGTTAGGTAAGGTCGGTGTTTTCTATGAATCTTTTTAAGAGTATCTATTATGTTAAGTATGTCATCTATGCACGTAGTTAATAAGTCAATATTGACTTTACGAATTTGCGAGAACGGGTTGTACCACTACACCACGGAGACTGTTCAAAAGAAATACAGTATTAATAGCATTGTCGTCGTCTTTTCATCTCCTAGTGTGTGGTTTGGTCAACATTACATATCAATATGAAATCTTAATGATCCATGGTTAACATTTATGATTTAATAACCATAATACTGGTAATAATAGATATTAGCCCCCAATAGCAAAATCTGGGTACAGCACAAGAATATCTTCCAATATTCCTGAGTGAAGTAATTACAGAGTTCAAAGTACCTCATTCTATTAGGTCTGAAGTCACTGATAACAGGACAATCACAGATGAGAATGTACAATGAATGTAACAACTCTTGTATATATCTCAAAAAAAAAAAAAAAATAGTGTTGGAGAGTAAGTCTTCTCAAGTAGGACTGACAACAGATGTTTTTTCACCCAGAGGGTTATAAACCCGTGGAACTGCCTACCCGATGAAGCCGTAAATGCCAAAATCCAAGGCCACTAGATAATTAGTGGCCCTTGGGTAAATTTAGGTAAGTATACTTAAGGCAGTGTCTGGGATGCTCCCGGACGCAGGTTCAAATCCTCGTCACAGCCCTTGTGGATTTGTTCATTTTCAGGGTTTTATTCAGTCACATCCGTTCAAGACCAAAAGTATTTCAAAGAGTTCATATAATCATAGATGTTTAAGAGTTTAAGACAAATTTTTGAAGAGACCATTTTCATTGAATATTGTCATATAATTTTTGTTAAAGAAAATAGACATCTTATCAGTAAGTTTTTACTTATATCCATTTACTGCTGTGTCACACTCGTTTAAGATCTAAATTATTCAGAGACCAGTTGAAGACCAAAATTAGTCAGAGATCATGTAGTTGTACTACATTGAACAACCTAGCCCCATTAATTAATGGTGCAGACCCTATTTTGGGTGTGAATTATACCAGTTCGAGTTGAATTGTGAGTCTATGATTTACCTAATTTATAATTGTTTACCTATAATCATTGCACCTTTGAGTGATTAATTAGTGTCTACACCAACCAGGGGTGATTTTGATGAGCTAACCTGATGGTTCTACCAATATTGACACTGGATTAGCACTCAAATTGATTGTATGATTATATATAATGTAAATTAATTATTAAGTGCTAACCTCTAGAATAGGTAGGATTTTAGCCTAGGACTGCAAATGCTTACCCTAGGCTACTACCATCAGTACTCGTTCAGCATTATGAGCTAAACAAGTACAAGCCCTGTAAATACCAATCAAACAGCCAGTATGGATACTGCAGGAAGAATGAAAAGGACCCTTATAGGTCTTAAGGGTCACTTAACCAGACAGATAAAGAAATGTGAGGATTTGTCACAACAATCTCCAGTTGATTATGCTGACCTGGAAAGATATTATCAAGCAGCTGCATTTTTTTTTTTTTTGAAGGGATATTCTTGCGCGGGGCCCTAAGCCTCTGCCATGACTGGCCCACTAAGTGTTGCTTGTTCCAGAACCTGTAAGCCTATTTTCCATGCACATGGGTATCCAAGCCTGATGCGATGTAAGTGTACTTCTGTTGTTCTACTGCTCCCTTTCATCAAACTAAGTGGTTCGTAGTTGGTTGAATTCTTGTACCAACCCGCAGATCCTGATATTGCAACTGCTGTGTTGTGGTCAATGCACATCTTTTGCATTATTGTTTCTAATTACTTTCTTAATCTGTGATTACTGCAGTATGTGGTACCTCTGTGGTATGTAAATGTCTACATTTCTTCTCTTTGTTGCAGGTAAATTTAACTAGCCTTACTAGGTAACTAGCTGCAGGTAAATTTGAGCAAGTCAAATGCCACATAGCGACATATGTGGCTGAACTTGCCAACACCAGTTTATCAGAAACAGAAATAGACGAAGTTATGGTTGATCTAGCGAGTTATGAAGATCACACTCAGGCAATGTTACAGCCTTTTGTCAAAATAATTGCCCAGAACAAGGCAACATCAATAGTTTCATCTAATACGAGTAAAGCTGAAACTCGACTCCCTCCAATTAATTTACCCTTTCTCAGGAAAAGATGAGGAGATTGGGACAAATATTGGAACAAATTCGTAGATCTTGTGGACACACAAAAAAATCTTTACCCAAGAGTAGTAAATTCTCTTATCTACAAGGTCAATCAGGTGAAGCTAAATCAGTAGTATCCAATCTGAGGTTAAATAACAACGGTTATGACTTCCCAGTACAGTTCCTCAAGGATAATTATGCTAATCCAGAAGAAAGAACATCACACTTAGTTCATGAGCTGTTACATTGCGAGAGAATGTCTCTCAAGATTCTCCCACAGCTGACTGGAATGGCTCATTGCTGTGCACAGTGCACTGATCTTCGTGCACAAGCCTATCTCTGTTAACCCTGGATAGTGACCTGGCATGTTGGGTATCTCCAGAATGCCCACTTAACCAGGAACACTTTCATAATACGGAGGCCACCGTATGTCCAGGCAGGAAGTAGATACAGGGAGTTAAGCATACTTGCCACCGAAGGGTCAGTGAGTACATGGCTGGTGCCCGCGTGAGAGACAGAGGGTAGACGCCAGACCGTCTGACCTCTGGGGTCAACCGGCGCGATGGACAATAACAGCTGACATGTTCATGACGTCACTCCAGTCTTTAAGTTGGAGGCAGAGTTCATGATCAAGGCCCTCAGCCTAACAGCCAATACAACCAAAGCCGAGTGAGTCTTGAAAATAATTGTCTAGAAAATACCTAGGGACATATTGAGACAAATGAGTGCTCATTACAATAAAAGTATTTTATCCTTAAGTCAAATATCAGAGGGTAATTCAACATTACTGAACAATTAATGTTCAGTAATTCAACAACAAACACATGACAAATTAAAACCAAGTAAGTAATTATCAAAAGAAGGCACCAAACCGGGAATTAAAACCAAGTCAATCTTCAGGAACTAATATTAGTAAACCAGAGTACCAAAGGTACTCCAGATAATTTTAAATCAATCTATTTCCACACCAAAGTGGAACCAAGGCAATGTGGGCACATATGCATTGCGACCCTCCAAGCCTATAGTTACTGTCACCCAAGACCGTGACTCTAAAGGGTACTGTAAGCTATGGATCATGTTTGTTGTCATGAGAAACATTCATTGTACCACTGCACCAATTTTTCACGATTGTGACACCCGTGTTGAACGACTCGAAGATTTGCAACGTTGCACAAGGTGCCTCAGGAAACACAACCTCCCCCCCCCCACTCGAATGTGAGACCCAATTACACACCTGTAATAGATTAACAAGGGTCAGCACCATGCAACATTGTGTGGAGACACCAAAACAAAGTCTCCAAACCCTAAGGTGGAAGATAACATTCCTACCACAGTACAGTACTGCAAGGTGCAACAAAGTCAGTGCCCTATTGACAAACACCAAAAATGCTATGCCTTTGCCTACTGCCCAAATTACCATCCAGAATAAGAGGGCCAGGGTCCACACCCTTGGGTTGTTTGACCAAGGGTCCCCGGGGAGCGTCACTAAAAAGGTGGCAGATGACCTACAATTAAGGCCTGTAAGACAGGCGACATTAAATATTTTGGGGTTTCTTGTAGATGCAGGACCTCAAGTCTACCAGGTGGTACAAACATCAGTACAATTAGACAGCTATGTCTGTCAAGTACAAACCATTGTGGTGGACACAATTCCAATAGACCTACATGTACAAGATCTAGGAGCTACTGCCAAATTCCTGAGAAATAGAGGAATAAAACTGGCAGATAAAATTAAGTCTGATCACCTCACCGACATTGGAATCCTTGTCGGTACAGACTACTACCGATTCATCAGTAGCCCTAGTAAATATCAGGGCATAAACATGTCAAATTCTGCAGTAGGCAAATAAATTACTTACAGGCCCAGTATTAAACCTGAGGAGACCTATGCCAATAGGTCTCTACCAATACCAATAGAAATCTAAATTTGTCAGCTGATTATACAACTCCAGTAGCATTATACTAAGGAGAATACAGCCGACTACAACATCAGAGGTTGATCTTGATATCATTTAAAGCTGAAGAGGAGTTCATTAGACCTCAGTGGCAAATCAGTGAACAGTAGCCAAAAACAGCTACAAGTCACTGAACCCACTGCAGTCTCAGAACCATACTTGACTTTAATGATTGATTATTCAATCTTCTGAATCAACTAACTAAATTAAACCAGATTTGTCAGCCAAATAGACTCTAGCAAATAAGCACAAGGGAGCATGACTGACTATATAAATCCGACGACTAATTTTGATACATTTATTATTTAATCAAGATGTATTCCATGCGCCTCAGTGTTTATATATCAGTGACCAGTTACCTGAACAATCTGTATGCAGAAAAATCAAAGAAACAATTTTAGGAATGGAACAGTAAAGACACATTCAATAAAAGGATACATATTTATTACAAAAGAGTAAACTGAACATGTACACAGGCTGTACATTGATGTAAGAGCTATTCATTAATAAACTGATATAGTTAATTTTAAAGATATTTTAGCATCAAATACACATGAAAAGCAATTCAGCTAACACTTTGCAATAAATGGTTGAAACTCTACAAGCCACTGAAAACTTGAGGGAACATTTTTATACCTGTATTTAATTTGTTGTGACATACGCACCTTGTTAAAATAGGTCATCAGCTTTAGCAATAGACGCTAGAAAGCCCCTAAAGTTGGCTACTGGAAAACAAAATCAAATGTTGTCAGTTACTGAGCATTCGGCATGAAATCTTTGAGGCGTGAAAGAGGCGACAAGTATACTCAGTGGCCTGTAGATGCCTTACCAAGCAAATTTCCTTTTATAGCTGGTACATACTTTCAAGCTGCAAGTTCCTGGGACACCTGGTTCAAGCAACCTTACGTACATACATACAAATCAATATAAAAAACACACTTAGAATACGAAACACTGAATCTTATGTGATGTATTTTATCTATTAACAGTCAAGAGCTTGATAATTTTGGTTGATGTTCAAAGAGAAAGCAGTCTGTATAATTCAAAATAATTTCCAAGTAGAAAATCTAACTACACATGGCAAAAAGTATTTCCTTTCTTGGCAGATGATTCATGCACTTCAAGGACACTGCTCTAAACACGACTTACTGGTGGAGCCACTTGTCTAGTTCACCAAATGAAGAAGAAACACTCACTTGGTATTGGTCATGCTGCGCTCACCAAACAGGTCATTTATGCAGCTAGGAAAGGAAATTTCTCTACAAAATATGTCAAATATTTAAGTCAATAATAAGCTTGAATTACATTTCATCTTTTGACTACTGTATATGAAAAAAGTGATATACTAGAACAAAAAGAGTACAAGAACAACTTATATTAACAAATAATTATACAGTAGTAATAAGTATTATCAATGGGACACCACGATCAATTTTGCTAGTCCAACGCAGTCTAGATTTAGCTGGCCCATACCCTATATATAAGAGCCTAATTCATTATACAAAAGCTTTACTCTAAATAATGAATAGATATTACATCAAGTCTGTGCAATATCTATCATCGCAATAAGTAATGAACATCTTTGCATCCAACCCACCTGGAAACCCCCGCCCAACATCATCAATTGAAGTGACACACAAAGACGCCACAACTCTAGTTCTCAGACTATGCCGCATTTACAATATCATTTACTGTGCTCATTGGCACAAGGTGGCAGCTTACTCTATAAACCATATGGGTTGGTCACGGTTGTGTGAAGCAACCAATGAATGCTCTATGCAGACATGATATATATATTTATGTTGCTCTTAACTATACACCTGGGGTGGTATTTCTCCCCCCATCCATATACGTATAAACAAAACCAGTTTGTGTACTAAAGTTTCGTAATTTCTTGTCTGGACTGAAACGCCCTCTCCTCGACCTGATCCCTTTACTGGATAATGAACACACAAGGAATAGCAATAACTAATTTTAATATAATTTACATTATTATTATCTGCTTTCCAAGGTGTTCAAGATTCCCAGAACTAAGTAAAAACTGAACTCTTAAATCGTGGGGACTTCCACTTCTAAACTGTCAATACAGTAATATTGTTATGCTGCCGACCTGGCATGCAGATGTTGTGCAACCGAATGGGAGAAAACTGCACATGGCCGTTGGTCACTCTGGATCCCAGGAAGACTGACCAAGCCAAGGCACAATAAAGGAAGGTGAGGCGAGGAGAGCCAGTACCAGCATTGGCCTACAAATGACACTCTGGCAGACTGCGTTGTACACTCCTTTCTCATTTCATCACTAATAATCTGCAAAGATAGAAAGACAAGGCTGAGGTGAAAAATATGTTGGAATTTCTTTGTATGCAAAGCAAGTTACACAAGAAGGGAGGACACCAAATAGTTTGAAGCTACACTGTAATATACTGTACTGACCAGCCTGCCACCCACAGCTCTACTGATGTTACACTGTAGTACAATGGAACCTCGGTTCTCGCAGTTTTCGGTTGTCGTAGTAAATTTCTAGATTAGGTTGTCGTAGTTTGCCTCAGGGAGGGGGGGGGGGGTTTCCACAGTTTGTTTATACACGTACAGGTCCACTGCGAGCATGGCCTCGTAGCCTGGTGGATAGCGCGCAGGACTCGTAATTCTGTGGCGCGGGTTCAATTCCCGCACAAGGCAGAAACAAATGGGCAGTTTCTTTCACCCTGAATGCCCCTGTTACCTAGCAGTAAAATAGGTACCTGGGTGTTAGTCAGCTGTCACGGGCTGCTTCCTGGGGGTGGAGGCCTGGCCGAGGACCGGGCCGCGGGGACACTAAAGCCCTGAAATCATCTCAAGATAACCTCAAGAAGATGGCGCTTTAGTTTACCAGTGTCTCTTGCCTAGTGATGATCGCACTTCGAGTCTTTGTGAAGAATTTCATTGTTTTAATGCTTATTTGGTTTTTGAACATAAAAGTTTTTATTACATATCATGCCATGGGTTCCAAGAAAGTCAGTGGTAATGTTCAACCTAAGAAAATAGTTGTGGGGATGACGATAGAGGAAAAACGAGATCGTTCATAGTGAGAATACGTATGATGTCTCACAACAAACAAGTATTAAAACATAGGGAAAACAAGTGTCTATAGACAGTCTCAGTAAGACAAGCAAGCAGTGAGCCACAACCAGGTCCTAGTTGTGTGCCTGCAAAACGTAAGAGAGGCCAGGTAAGAGTACCCCCAGAAATGATACTGCTGTTATAATGGAAGTGGGGACTCCCCCCATCTAAACACTAACACCTCTACTCCTCCCCCCCCTTCCTCACTGTCTTCCATACGTCAGTAAGAGTACTCCATAAAAGGTAAGGTACCACAGAGTATTATTTTGTATAAAATGTATTTTTTAGTTAATACTTTTGGGGGGTGTGGAACGGATTAATTCAATATGCATTATTTCTTAGAGGAAAATTTGTTTTGGTTTTCATGGTTTCAGTTTTCGTACTGTCTCTGGGAACGGATTAACTATGACAACGAAGGTATCACTGATCAGCCTGACACTCACAGGAAGAATACTTTATGACAGCCATAACTTTTCATATAATTTTGAAAATGTCAATTTGCTATACAAGGAAACAAAAATACTTGTTTGATTAGTCATATACTAACCTTTACAAAAGAGTGCATTTAGTCTTCTTCTTAATCCTAACAGAGAGTGCGGCCTTGGTAGCAGTTTCAAACACTTCTCGAACTCCTTCCTTAGTCTTGGCAGAGCACTCCAAGTAAGCAAAGGCGTTGATTTTCTCAGCCATGTTGCGTCCCTCCTCAGGTTTCACAGGCTCTTGCTTCATCTTCTGCAGCTCTTTAATAGTTGTGGCATCATTTCGTAGATCCTGCAATGACAAAGTACATCATTATACTTCTGATGAAGGGGGAAAAACAAGGCTTTGATAAAATTTAATTACAATTTTTTTTTAGTTTAGATGGCAAAAATAAATCAATTAAACAAAACACATTCTGACATGTTTAGTATACATTTGTCATAAGGTAAGAAAGCACTTGTAGGAAAAGAAAATACTTGAAATATTATGCAAGGACAAAATTAAACTATATTTCATGAAATCGAACAAAACAGTTATATGTTTATTAACCCTTAGAGTGCGCAATACATACATATATGATTTGACAAAAAATAGTTTTAAAATAACTTTTAAAAACTTGCACAAATACTTTCCAATTTTTTGTGCATAATCAACTAGACAAATGCTCCAACTTTGTCTTAATGATCACAGCGTAACTTGAAAAACAAGAGAATCAAAATTAATTTTAAAATTGGATATTGAAAACTTCCGATTTTCAATTCAGAATAAAAAAATACGAACTATCATTAATTGTTCATTTAATGTTATTACTCTCTCAAAATAGCATATGATCTTTATTTTCATCAAATTAGAATATAGGTTTTCAGTATAGTTTACGGCAAAAAAATCGTCATTAGGGCATTTGAAATATGCGGCAAATTTAGACCAAAAAAATTATAACTCCAAGTGTATAAAGTTTATGAAAAATCCATTCTGATGGGATTGTAGAACAGACAGCTGAGCACACAATACATCAAAATAGTGAGAATCGATTAATAACTGGAATTTTAGAAGCCACTCAAAGTTGAAACTCTAGTTTCAGAGATGATGGAAGTTGAAGTTATCAACAATGAATAAAGGTAGTTTTAATTCACTAATTTAATTGAATGTTTTAATAAACATTGTTTGGCATTCGTACTCAAATAGTATGTGAAAGTTGTAGGTCAATATGTGTTGAAATGAAGTCAAGGAAAAATAACTCCCCAAAAACATAAAATATAGGGATAATTATAATGATTTAGGGGACATATTTAGGGGATACTCTATATTGAAAAAGCCCTAATATGGTCCCTAATCATCAAAAAACCTAGAGACAAAGAAAATAGTTTGAGTCCCAAGTTTTGCAAGTTGTTACTGATATATTTGTAGACCCATTTCATTCCATCTTCACATAGTTATGAAAACATTTACATTCTCCAGGATGTAAACGTTACAACAAAATCAGATAATAAACAAGGGAGAAAAAAATCTTATATAAAAAAAAAAAAAAAAATGGGGGGGGGGGGACATTGATGAAAGTAAAATATATTACCATTGGACAATGTATTTATATGATATATAACAAACTAGAGCATATTAACATAGTTATTCATTATTATTTGTGTTATTATGTATTACTCAGCAATGATATAAAGGCACCAACTGCATATCCACTTTGTGGACACTTCTTACTACTACTGTTCTTCTTCTTTGTGCGTCGGGCAGGTGCTTGTATCTCTTTATTACTGCATTACCCTTCAGTTCCAGTTATTAGGAGCTGTTCTCCTTATCAACAAAACGTTTTTATTTTTAACAAATTCGTCTAAAATCAATTTCTGAAAATATTTTGATGAAAGTTTCACGACACTGAAGCCAATAAGTTTGAGATTTGTTTAACATTTTTAAGTTATTTTTACATAATTCAAATATTTTTCGCAATTATGGCCCCTATATTTGCAGTAATATGAGCAGTCTAAGGGTTAAATGCACTTTGATTTAAGCTTCATAAAGTGTTGAAATTTGTGAAAAATTTGATACAGTAAGAAAAAAAGCGTTGAATGTAATGAAACGCCATTTTCTGGGCGAGACCCGGAGGCTCCCCGGAGCTATCCAGGCTGATATGTATATTATTAGACTTTGGCATCAGTCAGTGTGAATGGAGTTCTAAGTCTACCAGGGACCATGAGCCAGAACCTGGCTCCCTCAGATAGGTACCAGGAGCAATGTCCTATACAAATGCATGTGTGTAATTACCTAAGTGTAGTTACAGGATGAGAGCTGTGCTCGTGGTGTCCCGTATACTCGGCACTCTGTCATATAACGCTTTGAAACAACTGACGGTATTGGCCTCCACCACCTTCCCACTTAACTTGTTCCAACCGTCAACCACTCTGTTTGCAAAAGTGAATTTTCTTATAATTATTCGGCATCTTTGTTTAGTTAGTTTAAATCTATGACCTCTTGTTCTTGAAGTTCCAGGCCTCAGGAAATCTTCCCTATCGATTTTATCAATTCCTGTTACTATTTTGTATGTAGATCATATCACCTCTTTCTCTTGTCTTCTAGTTTTGGCATATTTAATGCCTCTAACCTTTCCTCGTAGCTCTTGCCCTTCAGTTCTGGGAGCCACTTAGTAGCATGTCTTTGCACCTTTTCCAGTTTGTTGATGTGCTTTGCTTCTTAAGATATGGGCACCATACAACTGCTGCATATTCTAGCTTTGGCCTAACAAAAGTCGTGAACAATTTCTTTAGTATTTCGCCATCCATGTATTTAAAAGCAATTCTGAAGTTACAAAGTGTGGCATAGGCTCCTCGCACAATATTCTTTATGTGGTCCTCAGGTGATAGTTTAATATCTAGAACCACCCCTAGATCTCTCTCTATCAGAATTCTTTAAAGATTTCTCACATAATATATAGGTTGTGTGGGGTCTATGTTCTCCTATTCCACATTGCCATAACATGGCATTTATTCACATTAAATTCCATTTGCCAAGTGGTGCTCCATATACTAATTTTTGTTCAGTGTCTTCTTGCAGGGCACGACAATCATCTAAGTTTCTTATCCTTCCTATTATCTTAGCATCATCAGCAAACAGGTTAATATAATTCTGTATTCCATCTGGTAGATCATTTACGTAGACAATGAACATCACCGATACAAGAACTGAACCCTGTCATACTCCACTTGTGACACTTCTCCAGTCCGATACATTGCCTCTGATTACTGCCCTCATTTTTCTATGTGAGAAAATTTTTCATCCATGTTAGAACCTTACCTGTCACCCCTCCAATATTTTCCAGTTTCCAGAACAACCTCTTATATGGAACTCTGTCGAAAGTTTTTTTTTAGATCTAGATCGATGCAGCCAACCCAACCATCTCTTTCCTGTAAAATCTTTGTGGCTCGATCATAGAAATTGAGTAAATTCGATACACAGGATCTTCCAGATCGACGTATGAGTCGCAGCCTGGTTGATCAGGAATCCTTTAGAGGTGTTTGTCAAGTTCTCTCTTGAACACTGTGAGGGGTCGGCCAGTTATGCCCCTTATGTGAAGTGGAAGCATGATGAACAGTCTCGGACCTCTGATGTTAATAGAGTTCTCTCTCAGAGTACCTGTTGCCCCTTTGCTTTTCAATGGGGGGTATTCTGCACATCCTGCCATCCCTTCTAGTCTTATGTGATGTTATTTCTGTGTGCAGGTTTGGGACCAGCCCCTCAACTATTTTCCATGTGTAAATTATTACATATCTCTCACGCCTGCGCTCAAGAGAATACAGATTTAGGCTCTTTAGTCTGTTCCAATAATTTAGATACTTTACTGAGTGGATTCTAACAGTAAAGGATCTCTGCATGTTCTCCGGGTCAGCAATTTCTCCAGCTTTGAAAGGGGCTGTCATTGTGCAGCAGTATTCCACTCTAGAGAGCATTAGCGTCTTGAAAGTATCATCATTGATATAGCGTCTAGTGTGAAAGGTTCTCGTTATCCAACCTGTCATTTTTTTGCTGTTGTGACGGCTACTTTATTGTGTTCTTTAAATGTAAAGTCTTCCGACATGAGTACACACAAAATCCTTTTCATTGCCTTTTCGTTCTGTTATGATTCGACTGCGTTTTGTACGTGGTTTCCGTTTTTACGTTTTCCTTTTTTCCGTAGTGCACGAGCTGGAACTTATCTTCGTTAAACACCATATTATTTTCTGTAGCCCAAAGCATGACCCGATTTACATCTGATTGGAGGTTTGCCGTGTCCTCTATGTTGTCTACTCTCATAAAAATCCTAGTGTCATCTGGAAAGTAGGTAGCTAGGTAGCCGGCACTTGGAGATTTGGGACTCCCCCCCTCTCTCAGGAAGGGGAGAGCTGCATGGATGAGCGACACAGCCGTGGAGTGTAATGTATGTTTGTTTCCTTGGGATTGGAGGGAGTTCTGCCTCTCTTTTCTATTTTTAGTTGTAATTTTCTTACCATACCTGCTTGATGGGGTTCTGGGAGTTGTTCTACTCCAAGCCCAGCCCAAGGCCAGGCTTGACTTGTGAGAGCTTGGTGGAGCCATGTGGAGTTTGTTTTGTTATGTCTACCTTTCTAGGCGCCTAACCCCAGTCGATGGTAGATAAGGAAAACCCTAACCATAGGGGGGTTTTCCAGGGCCACTACTCCCTGCAACTTCTAAGGGACGGGGGAAGGGGGGCAGGTTCTGGCTATGGTTATGGGCAGGTTTAAGGGAGCCAGTCGGCTGAGCGGACAGCATGCTGGACTTGTGATCCTGTGGCCCTGGGTTCGATCCCGGGCGCCGGCGAGAAACAACAGGCAGAGTTTCTTTCACCCTATGCCCCTGTTACCTAGCCGTAAAATAGGTACCTGGGTGTTAGTCAGCTGTCACGGGCTGCTTCCTGGGGGTGGAGGCCTGGCTGAGGACCGGGCCGCGGGGACACTAAAGCCCCGAAATCATATCAAAATAACCTCAAGATGGTCCCCAGTACCTGCTTGATGGTGTTCTGGGAGTTCTTCTACTCCCCAAGCCCGGCCCGAGGCCAGGCTTGACTTGTGAGAGTTTGGTCCACCAGGCTGTTGCTTGGAGCGGCCCGCAGGCCCACATATACCTGGTTGATGGGGTTCTGGGAGTTCTTCTACTGCCCAAGCCCGGCCCGAGGCCAGGCTTGACTTGTGAGAGTTTGGTCCACCAGGCTGTTGCTTGGAGTGGCCCACAGGCTCACATACCCACCACAGCCCGGCTGATCCAGAACTTCTCTTAGAAAACAGTCCAGTTTTCTCTTGAAGATGTCCACGGTTGTTCCGGCAATATTTGTTATAGTCGATGGGAGGACGTTGAACAACTGTGGACCTCTGATGTTTATACAGTGTTCTCTGATTGTGCCTATGGCACCTCTGCTCTTCACTGGTTCAATCCTATATTTTCTTCCATATCGTTCACTCCAGTACATTATTATTTTACTGTGTAGATTTGGGACCTGGCCCTCCAGTATTTTCCATGTGTATATTCGGTATCTCTCTCATCTCCTTTCTAGAGAGTACATTTGGAGAGCTTTGAGACGATCCCAATAATTTAGGTGTTTTATCTCGTCTATGCGTGCCGTACAGTAGGCTGAACTCCACAGACTAATGTCCTGGTGTAATAAATCACACATTAGCCCAATAGCTCTAAGGAGTCATATGGGCTCCCCACAGAAAAATCACTACTCTGGCCAAAAAAGTGAACATTGAAGAAACGCAGACTTAACATCAACTAGAAGAGCATCAGACGTGATCCCTGATTCATTTATTTCATCTGTGGAGGGTACCCAATTGTTATCAGCAGCAAAACTACCCCCCAAGAGACTAGTACAAAGCAGTCGCAACCGTGGTTGCCAGGATCGGGTTGAGCTACCATTACCTGTGGCCTGTGACTACATGTCCCCAGCCACACACTGTATGCCAACTAAACAAGAACTGGGGTCACGATCTCTTGCATTACATTATTGAATCATTAGTCTAGTCATTAGGCCCTTCAGATCTGCCAGAATGAGGTACCTGGAGCTTTGCAATTACTTATTCACTCATTGTGTTCACACATGGCCCTGCATGACTTAACCATCCTGCGAGAGGGGGATATTTTAGTATCACACAACCTAGGGTAGCTGCACAAATGCAGATGTACCTGTTTAAAAACATTAAATAATTAGAAACTAAGGACTGTAATGAAGTTTAAATACTGCCGGTTACATACCTTTTTGTTTCCTACTAGAATAATTGGGACATTTGGACAAAAATGTTTGACTTCTGGAGTCCATTTTTCTGGTATATTTTCTAAGGAGTCTGGTGAATCAATGGAGAAGCACATTAGTATGACATCTGTGTCTGGATAAGAGAGAGGACGAAGTCTGTCGTAGTCCTCTTGACCTGCTGTGTCCCATAGGGCCAACTCCACCTGTAATGGTTTCAGTGGGAGAAGCAATTAAATAAATACAATAATTCGGGAATAACAACATATATTGATAATTAAAAGACTAGCTAATTATTATACAAGTTTTTATATAAAACGTTTTTAAAATAAGTCACTACTGCAGAGGAAAAAGTAAAGCATTACAAGTAAAAACTTGAATTCATTAATATGCAATTGTTTTCTAAAATGGATGAAGCTCTGAACACATATTTGACTTTAATTTTTTTTTTAGAGTATATTCAGGGTTTGCAAACACTCCACTATTGCAAGACTGACCTTCCAAGATGCTCAAGTTTAAAAAAAAAAAAACAGGTATCTCAGGTCCCTGTAAGGCACATTTCAAAACAAACTACAATAAATAAATATACATTTATCACATTATTACCCAACCCTGTTTACATTGCTGTACTTTGGCTTTAAACTATTTAATTTTTAAACTCTCAAGACATCAGCTCAATATGTCGTGAAGCTCTTGGTTAGTGGAGTAATAAGCACCCCATTTGCTATGTTACATTTAATTCCTTTAAATATTAATTTACCAAGTGAATGACTACAATACTGTCCAGTACTGTTTGACATGATCATTCCCCCGTCTTAAGTCTCCACTCTGCTACCGTTTTATATAACTCTTGGAACCTATTGTCTGTTCGTTTGTTCAGTGTTCTGTCTGTCACTCCACAAGGATGTTCCTTTGTCTTCTTTGCCAGAATACATACCAGCATTCTGTTAAGCTGTGTGTGGCCAGGTAAGTGAATTTGCTGCTTCTTTGCTTTTGCTACTGTTGCTTTTAAACTGTTGCGCTGTTGATAGGAGTTCCTTTCTGTGACTATCAAACCCCCTGCTGACTTTTGTGCCCTGCTCCCTGTATATTACTGGCACTATGCTTTTTCTTTGTGTTCTTGGTTTAATCTTCGTTATCCTTGGCTCAACAGTCAATGCAAGACATACTCGTGAACTTTCATCCTTAAGAGGGATTAATTGTTCGGGCTGCAAACTACATCGTATTTTGCAACTTCCCATTAGTTTTTCTCCCCATCAAAATTACTGCAGGTTGGCCCTTGGCCTCCTGGAGTCCCATTGTCAGTATCAGGCATTCTTCACTCTGCTTCTTGGTGTCATCCCATATCTTAGCTCTACTACGTAATCGAACACAAACATGAGTCACTGCAGCAGGCCAGTTGACCCATTCTGGGTAGTGCCCATCTAGGTCTAAAACCTCTCTTCTATTAAGCCTATTTCAAAAGCTAGATATGCCGTTTGCCTCAATAATGACGTCAGGAAACCTATTCCACTTGTCTACCACCCTGCTGCCAAACCAATCCTTCCTGAAATTGTAATGTCTCCAGCTTATAGCCATTGTCACAGGTTCTGACAGTTTAGTGTTTCACAACATCTAGCTCCTATCTCCCATTGATACACTTCATCCATTTGACCTCTCTCACATCTTCCATCCTCCTCCAACTCTACAGGGAGCGTAGACTAAGATCCTTTAACCTCTTCGTGTGCAGCACAGTGTAAGTGGGACCTGATCAGGGCCAAATATAATTAGAGAGCAGTATTCGTACATTTATTGGTGATGCATCCATTATAAACCCAAGCAGTCTATTTGCTTTGTTTTGCATATTCAAACACTGGTCACTAGGTCCTATGCCTCAGATTACAGATTTTGCTACAAAACTGCATCATTCAGCTGGTACATAGGGGTGTCCTTGTCACTTCCCAAGTACTTTGCCCTTATTAACACTGAACTTTTATCTACCACTTTTCTGGCCGTTCCTGCAATGTGATGGTCTTTTCCTTGCGATGCAATCCTCATTCAAGTAAGTTTACTATTAGTTCCATTTGTGTCATCTCCAAACGTATTATAATTCACTGTGTCAGGAGACAGGCAGCCAGTTTATACACAGTACATGTTAGGCTTATATCAAATTACTGACCCTCCCCAGGACTCGACCCCACAACAAGCCGACGAATGCCTGGGTGCCTACTTACTACTAGGTGGAAAGGGGGATTAGGTGATAGGAAACACACCCAACCACATCTGTCCTGCCTGGGATTCAAACCAAGAATTCTCGATTGTGAGTTGAGAACGAACCCGACTGTACTACTGGGGACCCAAGACTAATACCAAGACTTCCTGATATTACTGTTCCCCATCAACATCTAGGCCATTAACATGTATTACAAACAACAATGGCCTCAATACAAGCTCTGGAGCACACCATTTAAGTAATTCTTTCCATTCAGACTTTGCCTTGTCAATGGGCTAACTCTGCTTCGTATACTTCAGCCAGACTGAGTCAACTGAGAACACACACTCCAATCCCGAGGGCCTCAACCTTCCTGATCAACTTCGTTGGATAGACTGCCTCACATACATTCCTGTAGATCATTCTCAAAGGACTGGCTTCCATCCAGAGGTCTATGTGTCAAAAATATTTGAAAACTATGTAGCTTACATTGAAATTGACGGAAAACAGAATATTGTGCCACAATACTCAAGCTTGACTAGCAACCAGTATCTGGATACTGGTCAAGCTTTGCAACCTTTTTTAATCTCCCACTATGGCCAGCCACTGAATCAACACCCACACGGTTCAGTGGTCATATACCAGCATTTGGATTACCATGGCACTGGTGTCCAGCCACTACACATCTGCCAGAAAACAAAAGCCTTTAATAGGCTACACGTATCAAGGGGGTTGTTTCATTAAATAAGCTATTATCGCAATGGTTGTCGACTCCTAGAAGTAAACTCGCTTATTTTTTCCTATTACCTTATTTTTGGAAAATGTCAGGTCTTGTGTTACTGGATAGTCCTCACTTGCTCAGCGATATGCTGCCTTAAGAAGTGTGTGCTGTATCTACCAGTTTAACTCAGTGTTTAATTACTGTCATGAGGGTTCCTTCATTTCCCCAGTACATTTCCATGTGGTTAAAATCTCAATGTATTATAATCTTAGCCCTCACTTCCCATGCCAATATGGGCACTTATTCTTTACCTTGCAGAAGTTTTCATTGTTTGTGCCTGTCTTCCCTGGGTCTTATAACCCTTCTCTCACTCTTTTGTCTCCACTGTTACCATCCTAAATTATGTTCCTCAAGATGCCCGTGTAACTGTAGCAGTGTTCAACAGGCACTCCTCGTGTTTTATATGTAATTCTTGATGAAGGGGTTAAGAGTTTGTGCCTGCTTTTCCTGCCATAGCAAGCAAGCTCATCACTGGTGACGAATTCAATTTCAACTCCACTGTTTTCTTAATTGAAGGGTCAAGACTATTATAGGAAAAGCATTGGTCTGCTTAACGGACAAGTTAATAGATCGTGACGTGACTATCAGTAACCACGGGGCAGTCAGTTACGTTGCTCTAGCAGCAGTTAAAGAGAGACATCGCTAAATTATGATAGAATAAAATGCACAACTACAAATGACTGTTGACTGCTATCTTTGAAGCATTCACTATACAATATAAAACTATAAATACTCACCTGTTTTCCATCAACTTCTATGTCAGCTACATAGTTTTCAAATACTGTTGGCACATAGACCTCTGGAAACTGGTCCTTTGAGAATACTATAAGGAGGCATGTCTTACCACATGCACCATCCCCGACTATCACCAGCTTTTTCCGGATGGCCGCCATGAATTCTGAAAGAAATGACATTAACCAATATGTATATTTAAGACCCAGAATATGTATAAAATTCATTAGGTACAATTTCATTATCAAGTGGCAAACAGACATTTATAATTTGGAAATACAGCTGACTAACAGATGTAGATTCAACCGCCCAAAAATTTTAAATATTCAATATATTTTTTTATACAAAGAGCTTGATAACTTATAAAATACAGGTACGACCTTTTAGAAGCTAAATGTAACAAACGAATTTTTATTAATGAACTATAAATGCAAAACAAATTTAAGTCCTCGGCAAATTTTCTACACAGTTATCTTGCGGTTATCTTGAGATGATTTTGGGGCTTAGCATCCCCGTGGTCCGGTTCTCGACCAGGCCTCCTTTTAGTTACACCCCCCCCCCCAAGAAAGCAGCCCGTAGCACCTGTCTAACTCCCAGGTACCTATTTACTGATAGGTAACAGGGGCATCAGGGTGAAAGAAACTTTGCCCTCTTGCTTCCGCCTTCACCGGGGATCGAACCCAGAACTTCAGGTCTATGAATCCGAAGTGCTGTCCACTCAGCTGTCAGGCCCCCTTCATCACAGTATTATGAACCATCTTTTCAAAGAAAATTACATATAATAAAACTACAACTGAGTATCTTAATTTGGACTGGCCAACCCCTACATTACATTAATATGTAAAGGAATTTCACGAGTTTCACTGGGACCATCGGACCCTCAAACCCATTTTCATCATAGCGGAATTCTGTAATCCTACTAACTGTATTATGAGCACCCACAATGAATGAAATTACCTACAGTATTATGGTCTGCAACTTACATGAACTTCACCAGTATAAACATTCAATAATGGTGCATCAGCACAGTATTTTTCAGTAGTGTTTTACTCAAGCTTTGCAACCTTTTTTACTCTCCCACTATGGCCAGTCACTGAATCAACACCCACACAGTTCAGTGATTTGTTCCTTGGGAACCAATGAGCATTGTGATCCAATATTATTGTGCAAGGTAGCACGATGTGCCAGCATGCTATCAAGATGTTTTTAATTACGTTGAAAATTCTTTGCTTCAGTACCCATATATCAGCATTTGGATTACCATGGCACTGATGTACAGCCACTACACATCTGCCAGAAAACAGAAGCAAAAACCAACCACTTATGTGAGATAATTCCACCGTCGTTGAAAACCGATTTATCTAACTTCTTTCTTTTAAGGTTCTATGTATATACCAACATATTCTTGGGGAATGTTTGAAGAATTCTTAGCATTTTTGTGGTTTAGTCATGTCCTAAAATGAAGGTGCTATGTTTATTTTAAAATACAGTTTAACGGTCACTCCGTCTGGTCAGACGCATACGAGCTTATCCTATCAAAAATTATTGATAAACAGCAAATATATCTTAAAAGTAACACATTTTTTATCCAACAAAAATTTGTGATGCCTATTTTTGGGTTCCATTCTAGGAAAATGTCCCATATCCCAGGGAACACTAGTTGGGTTCCATTCTAGGAAAATGTCCCATATCCCAGGGAACACTAGTTGGGTTCCAAAATGTTCCTTTAAGAAACCCAATGTACTAAGGAATGAAAAGTTGTTTAACAAAGTTGGTGCAGGGAAACCTTCCTGCACACACACACACAAGAGGCGGGACCAAAGAGCCAGAGCTCAACCCCCGCAAACACAACTAGGTGAGTACACTGCTAAATCATAAATTAATTACACATCTCGGTGATTATCAAGCCAATGTCAAGCAACTAAAGTGTACCGAGTCTCGTTTTAAACTCCTGTTCAAGGCAGACTACTTTGCCGAACAGACGATCTGGAATTTTCTCAGTATTTAAGATATTGAATACTTGCTAAGATAAGGATTAGATTGTGATAAATGTCCATATCTATGAATCACTTAAAATGGCCTCACTAGCATAAACACTAGCACTCACAACCAATAAGAGGCCTCGTAGCCTGGTGGATAGCGCGCAGGACTCGTAATTCTGTGGCGCGGGTTCGATTCCCGCACGAGGCAGAAACAAATGGGCAAAGTTTCTTTCACCCTGAATGCCCCTGTTACCTAGCAGTAAATAGGTACCTGGGTGTTAGTCAGCTGTCACGGGCTGCTTCCTGGGGGTGGAGGCCTGGTCGAGGACCGGGCCGCGGGGACACTAAAGCCCCGAAATCATCTCAAGATAACCTCAAGATAATAAATGCATTCCAACACCATGTAGAGTTTGTATCTTTTAAATAACAATGATTAATTATTGTGTTTTGGGGGACATCTCACTATTTTGCAGTAAAACTCTCACATTTTTTCCTATAAATCATAGTGAATCTTTAAATTTGAAAATTTAGTTAAATAAATGCTGATGTATTGATTTGATGCTCAAACTCGTTTAAAGAAAATATTCCAATACGAAAGTTAAAAACTTAATAATTAAGTGCTGGACAAACCAGGCTGTTTATGATATGTGGGCCTGCGGGCCCCCCCCCCCCCCCAAGCAACAGCCTGCTGGACCAAGTTATCACACGTCGAGCCTGGCCTCAGGCCTGGCCTCGGGGAGAACAACTCCCAGAACCCACTCCCGGTATGCACCAGGTAACTGACCTATTATAGCAGCATAGCCTTTATGATACCAACAATCTAGGTTATCAATCAACAATTTCAGTTTGGTTGAAATATGATACGTGACATCAGTGAAGGCATTTAGTGTGTGTAGTTTTATTATGATTTCCATCAAGTGTATGTTAAAGCAATTAAAAACAAAGCTGTCCTATGTAACCAACAATAGATATAGATAACCAAATTTAACCATTAAAAAAGTGCAGGAAAAATTTTACCAAGATAGCACATTATACCAATACAGTAAATACCATTATGTTGTGAGGAATAAGTGTCAGTTTCTCAACATTACCAAATAGCATTAATTCAATGCAAATTCAGTGAAATTAATGCTTGATGAAGTACGTTTTGGTCCCACTTGCGCATCTAGAAAGATATCTCTGGGGAAACATAACTCCAGATGCAAAGTTGTGTAACAAGTACAGAGTAGTGCAGATTATGGCGTGTATGATGTATTCAGTGAACACAATACAGTGTACGGTGTAGTCTTGTGACTAAATGTAGCGGAGGTTGTAAGTAAGTATGAGTGTAAGTGGTTATAGCTTCATGTCGTCAGGGGGCAGGGGGGGGGGGAGGGGACAAGCCCTCAAGGCTTATCAAGGTCCCCCGGGCCAACAATTGACCATCCTTAAGGATGCAAACCCCACAACTGTTGCCTAACTCCTAGCTACTGTAATTTAACTGCTAGGTCGACAAAGGTGTCGCTATAGTAGTCGAGGTATTTGTAGGTGGTTAGATATGTCGGTCTTGGTGGTTGAGGTTGTATTGATGGATCTTGTAATTATCTAAGTGTAATTACCTAAGTGTAGTTACAGGATGAGAGCTACGCTCGTGGTGTCCCGTCTCCCCAGCACACTGTCATATAACACTGAAATTACTGACTGTTTTGGCCTCCTCCACCTTCTTGTGTGGCTTTCTTTGTAATGTTACTAATGTTAGAAGTTATAGTTGCAGTTTTTGCAGTGAAGTTTAGTGGGGATTGTGGTTGAAATGTTTCTAATAGTTGTGGTGTTAGTATTTATAGGAGTGGTGATTGTGATTGTTGATGCAATACCAGTCTAATTTGTAATGGTACCATAGTGTTGCCAGTTCTTTGCCCACGCAGTTTGCCATTCAAAACAACATATTGCCAAACAAATTGTAACCACCACCAATGCATACTAACATACTGTACTGTGCAATGCTATCTTGCACACTAATATCAGACCTTTATGCTCATAATTTGTCCGCTAGAGGTCATACCAGTGGTCGGCTATTTATAAGAAATTCCCTTTTTTTGTGGTGATATTTTGCTTTTTGAACATAAAACTAATTATTATACATCATGCCATGAGTTCCAAGAAAGTCAGTGGTAAGGTTCAACATATGAAAACCCATGTAAGGATGACCATAGAGCAAACACAAGAGATCATTCGTAAATATGAAGATGGTGTGCGGGTTGTTGAACTAGCTAGGCAGTACATATAACAAATCTCAGTCAACGATATCCACCATACTGGCTAAGAAAAAGGACATTATGAGTGCTAAGGTGGCAAAAGGCGTATCAATAATCACGAAACATAGAACACAAACACGATGTCGAACAGTTGTTATTAATTTAGATACACACCAAGGAGTTAAAGTTAGCAAATGTTAAAATGAAGGGAAAAACAAGTCTCTAGACAAATTTTTAGTGAGAAAAGCAAGCAGTGAACTACAACCAGGTCCTCGACCAGACCTCCACCTGCAGGAAGCAGCCTATAGCAGCTGTCTAACTCCCAGATACCTATTTACTACTAGGTAACAGGGGCATTAAGGTGAAAGAAACATTTTGCCCATTTGTCTCCGCCTCCACCGGGGATCGAACCCGGAACCTCAGGACTACGAATCCGAAGCGCTGTCCACCCAGCTGTCAGGCGTCAGGCGTGGTATGCAGGCAAAACGTAGGAGAGAGTGTACCCCAGAGAAAATATCACTGCCTGATGTGATAATGGAAGGGGACTTGCCTTCCAAACAGTAACATCTCTCCTCCTCCCCCCTCATCACCATACACCATCAAGAGTCCTCCATAAAGGTAAGATAAACATATGTACTGTATTGTAGTTAGAGAAAAAAATTGTATTCGGTATAAAATGTACTTGTAAGTTAATATTTTGGAGGGTGGGGAACGGATTAACTCTATTCCCTTTATTTCTTATGGGAAAAATCACTTCGACTTATGATACGTCTCTAGGAACGGATTACCATCATAAATCGAGGCCCCACTGTATCTATAACTAGAGTTTCAATTTACTTCAGTATCCAAAAATCTAGTTTTTGACCGATTCTCACCATTTTTGCATATAGTGTGCACAGCTGTCTGTTCTACAATTCCTAGAGAATTGATTTTTCATAAGCTCTAAACAT